GTGGTTTGCTGGTTTTCTGGGATCTGTAAATCAATGTGGCTTTGTTTTTAAAATCAATTTTTGGAAAATTTCAGGCATTATTTCCTCAAATATATTTTTTCCTACCCAGTTCTTACTCTCTTCTCCTTTTTGGACTCCAATTACATGTATTTTGGACTGTTTGATGTTGTTCCACGCTGTCCCTGATGCACAATTCATTTTTCTTCAGTCTTTTTTTCTCTCTCTTCTTTAGATTGAATGATTTATATTGATGTCTTCAAGTTCGATGACTCTTCTGCCATCTCTAACCTTCTTTTAAGCCCATCCATTTCTTTTTTTCAGTTCTAGAATTTCTATTTGGTTCTTTTTTAATAGTTTCATTTCTCTGTTGAGATTCTCTGTGTATGCCTATTTGTACACCATAGATATTAAAAGTAAAATCTTTGAGCATATTTTTCTTAAATTTTTAAAGCATATTTGTAATAGCTGCTTTAGTTAATCTGTTAGACCCAACATCTGGACCATCTCGGGGTCAGTTTCTGCTGCTACTTTCTGACTTGTATGCTGGGCATTGTGGATAATATGTTGTAGAGACTTGAATTCTGTTATCTTTCTCTGAGAAGTGTTGATTTTTTTTCTTTTTTTCTGATAGGTGGGTCATTCACTGGCTTATCACCTTGAACTTGCTTAGGTTTGGTTTTATGTTTTGTTAGATAGATCTGTGGAGAGCTTAAGGTGTTTCCCAAGCCTCTCTAACTTGGCTGGACTCAACTCTCAATCTCTGCCTTCTTCCTCATCTTGTCAGGGCTTATTTTAGGCTTAGTCAGAGCAAATCTAGAGTAGATCTTACTCTCAGATGTGGTTCTTACTCCTAGGACTCTGCCTTTTGGGTGTCTCAGCTGGATGCCCAGGATGTTAACGAGGTATCATGTGGTTTCGCCAGTCTGACTGGACCAGAACTCCTAGGAGTTCCATTGCCCCTCAGCACTGTTTGACCTCTAGTTATCTCTATTCCATTCTTAATCCGTTAGCTGTTCTCTGGTAAGCTTCTTCTTGCCTTGTACATGTGTAGCCCAGACCTCACCTGGGGATTCTTGGAGAACTTGCACAGTAGAACCTCCCCTCTCATGGTAGAACCTCTCTGGGGACTTGCCATGCAGATTTCAACTGCTTAACCTCTAATCTCTGCCTCCTCAGCTCAGTGGACTGCTGCACTCTGCTTGGACTATTTCCTCTACCTTACCCATGCTCTGCTCAGACTTCAGCTCACTGCACCTAATCAAGAAATGTCCCAGGCAGAGAGCTTGGGTGGTCATGAGACTTACCTCATGAGTTTCCCTGCTCTCAGCAGTCACAGTCTTCTGCCTGTTGTTTAATGCCAGAAAAAGTTGCCTTATATATTTTCTTCATTCTTATGACAGTTTATGGCGGGATGGCTGGTTTAGTACCAGTTATCTTGTTATATCCAGAAGTATAATTCCAAAGCCTATTCACTTTGGAGAGGGAATATATTCTTGAAAAGAGAAAATCTTATTTCATTTTAGATGTTTATTTTTCCTTCCTCCAGTCAACAATTGATTATTGTCTGTCTTCTCCCTGCAGTTGGCACTGGGCATACAAAAGGAACAAGACTCAGTTTCTTTCCTCAAGGAGCATACTTTCTTAATGATAAGAAGGCCAATAAATAGGAAGTTCGTCTTTTTATTTTTATTTTTTTTGAGGAAGATTAGCCCTGAGCTCACATCTGCCGCCAATCCTCCTCTTTTTGCTGAGGAGGACAGGCTCTGAGCTGACATCCATGCCCATCTTCCTCTACTTTATATGTGGGATGCCTGCCACAGCATGGCTTGACAAGAGGTGCCTAGATCTGCACCTGGGATCTGACCCGGCGAACCCCGGGCTGCCGAAGTGGAACTTGTGAACTCAACTACTGTGCTACTGGGCTGGCCCCTCAAGTCTTTTTTTTTGGAATAAACTTTTTTCTTTTTTTTTGAGGAAGATTAGCCCTGAGGTAACTGCTGCCAATCCTCCTCTTTTCTCTAAGGAAAACTGGCCCTGAGCTAACATCCATGCCCATGTTCCTCTACTTTATATGTGGGACGCCTACCACAGCATGGCGTGCCAAGTGGTGCCATGTCCGCACCCGGAATCCAAACCGGCGAACCCCGGGCCGCCGAAGTGGAACGTGTGCACTTAACCGCTGCGCCCCTGGGCCAGCCCCTGGAATAAACTTTAATTGAAGCATAAAATACATGGTTATGGTATGGTCCCTCTGCCCCGATTTAGCAACTTGTTAAATAAGGAGAGAAAGTTGATCCACCTCTTCCAAAGGAGAGGCGTTGGTAGTAGTAGATGTAACCTATAAATACACTTTTCTAGATCACTATTTTTCTTTTTTTTAAAGATTTTATTTTTTCCTTTTTCTCCCCAAGCCCCCCGGTACATAGTTGTGGGTCCTTCTAGTTGTGGCATGTGGGACACTGCGTCAGTGTGGTTTGATGAGCCGTGCCATGTCCGCGCCCAGGATTCGAACCAACGAAACACTGGGCCGCCTGCAGCGGAGCGCGCGAACTTAACCACTCGGCCATGGGGCTAGCCCCTAGATCACTATTTCTTAATTATTAGCCAGTAAATTTGCTTATCGTGAAATAATTAGTAAGAGGTATAAAAAAGCTATTTATCTGCTGATGTGTTGGTTTCACTCTTTTTGTCCTTGGCATGTGTTTTCACTAGAGATGCAGAAATCAGATATCTTAATGTATTTATGATATTAAAAGTGAAAACAGTTTTTCTCTGACTTCTATAGTGTATTTAATAGTCAAAACAAGTGTTTTCGACTTTCTTTTTTTAGAAGGTCAGCTTAAAACTTGAAAACAAACTTATCTTCACTCTGCTTCATATATCACTGTTGACAACCTGATAATCTTCAACTCAGGGTCTGGCTATAGAATGATTTTTGCCAATAATCACTGATAATGATATATGAATTGGATATAAAACAGATTTTCTTCCTTTTCTGTCATAACCTCCACCCAAAATTAGATTGATTTTAGATTGATTATAGAAAAATGACTTAGCTTGAAAATCTGTTGTTTTTTCTATAGTAAAATGCCCTTGAATGTTAACTTGGAAATAAAGATGAGTTATGTTAAACTTCTCCTACAGTGATACTACGTCAACATGGTGGTTAAATTTCTGAAACCTCCCGGGATAAGAGAGTTGTTGATTATAGAACTTCTGACAATCTTATGGGGGAAATAAGCCTTGGTGTAAATTCAATATACCAAATTAATCGGCTGTCAACAACATGTTAGTCATCTTTGATAATAATGAATACATTTGTCATTTCTTGTTTTATACTTTTAAGGATTTTATCTTCCACATTGTTTCATTTTTATTAGTGTTTTTCTAATATGGCCCTTCATCCAGATGTCTAGTGCTTTTCTAATTTTTTTTTTTTAAAGATATATTTTTTTTTATAGATTTTTTTATTTTTTTCCTTTTTCTCCCCAAAGCCCCCTGGTACATAGTTGTATATTCTTCGTTGTGGGTCCTTCTAGTTGTGGCATGTGGGACGCTGCCTCAGCGTGGTTTGATGAGCAGTGCCATGTCCGCGCCCAGGATTCGAACCAATGAAACACTGGGCCGCCTGCAGCGGAGCGCGCGAACTTAACCACTCGGCCACGGGGCCAGCCCCTGCTTTTCTAATTTTTGACTGAGTGTTGTTGATTCTCACTTCCTGCCTCCTACTATAGCAGAAGAGATAGGATAATTGTATGCTTGAAATGAAATGAAAAATCTTGTTTTTCAAACCTCCTTTCCCATTACCAAGCACGTGCAATCAGACCTTCTTATACATACCTCTCTTCTTTCTCTTCTTGTAGATACTGGTATTTCCACAAACTTAGAATTCTAGGAAGACGTTGGAATAGCCTACACCTGCAGCATTCACAGTATACCTTGTCTGCTAATGGTGTGCGTGTGTGTACTTATTTTATTAAGTATTATGTAGGTCTATTCTGGCATTCTGATTTTTTTCATTAACTCCTCCAAAATTACTGCCACGTTCATAGTAAAGTTTTGTGGTAGGTGGCATTCTAGAAAGTTTAGCCTGACTTGTTTGTTCTATCAACTTAATAACATTATACCTATGTTTATCCTCACTAGCTAGGATTTATAAACTTTTATATGTACATGATATTAGACTATACATATCTTGTGGTAATGTTAAATTAGATATGTAAAAGAAAGAATGATTTGGTGAAATTAGTAAAAGGGACATGATTTTTAGGTATCTATAGGCATGCAAACTATTCTTTCAAATGATCTATGTCAGCAGCAACTTAGGAGTCATTAATTTCAGTTACTATAGTTAAGTAATATGCGTTACTTTAACAACACTCTTTAGTTTATTTGGAGTCCTCTTTTAGTTCAAATAAGCAAACTTTTACTGTATTTTCATTGGTTGATATAAAAACGTCATTTTAACAATGATTGTTTATGGATTATATTATGCTTAAAAAATATGCAAGGCACAGACTTTCGGTATTGCTCTTTCAACTTGCTTGTCAGTGACTATTGTCATTTGTGATCAGATGGTAATGATAGCAAACCTTTCAATTCTTCTAAGACTGTTTTTCCAGACTGGTGCTGTTTCTTCTGTCTTGTTCATCCCATCCCCTTCCCAATTGTATTTTTTATAAAATAGAAACACATCGTCTCTATTATCAGAGAGAACATGTTTGCCTCTTGGCTTCCAATTCCTCTGTATCTTTTAAAATATGATTGAAAATAATTTTGTCTGTACACAGAAAGGATATATATGTTAATGGGTTTGGGCTACGACAATTGTAATAAATGTTTTGGCATTGCATAAGGAGTGTGTGTTTTGATTTGTTGATAGGAATGATCACAGCGTTGTGAGTTACAAGGTGAATAAGTGATGAGAACATCACCAAAGTGTCTAGTCCTACAAACATGCCTTTTTACTGACAATAATTTTTTTGACTGCTGTATTGCAGCTGTTGAAAATGGACAGGTAGATGTGGTAAGGCTGTTGCTTCGACACGGAGCAAATGTTAATGGATCCCATTCTATGTGTGGATGGAACGCCTTGCACCAGGCTACTTTTCAGGTAACCTCTGAATTTATTATTTCATTTCCATGTAAATTGTGCATTTTACCCTTTTAAAATGACAGTTCTATACAGTTTTTGCTTCCTACTTGCCTGTGATTTATGATGGTTAGTGCAGTACAGAAAAGGCAGTCTAAATGCTAATGATCATTTTGAATAAGCCAACTGCTGTAGTAGTTCCAGCAGCTTTGGGCTGCAGGGATTATCTAAGGTTTTTCAATGTTGATAGCATAGTTAAAAGACAGTCAGAATATTTGGGATATAAATTGATAACAAGCAGTGGCTTATTTTAGTTATAGTAGTGTATTTAGAAACTGTGATAACACCTTAGTGCTTGGGCTAGCAAGCTAATTTTCAGGATTTTATAAGGATTCTAATTCCAAGAGATCTATTTTTGTTTAGTGGGCTAGCTAAAGGTATAGAATAATCTGATTAACACTTCCTTCCCATCCACCAGTTGACTTTTCTAAAAAAATTTTCCTTTAGTGAGGGTAAAACACACACACACAACAATAAGAAAAGAGATACCTTCTATTTTCTTTGTTTTCTCTTATTTAAAATATGAATCTGTGCTTTAGGAAAATGCTGAGATCATAAAATTGCTTCTTAAAAAAGGAGCAAACAAGGAATGCCAGGATGACTTTGGAATCACACCTTTATTTGTGGCTGCTCAGTATGGCAAGATAGAAAGCTTGAGCATACTTATTTCATCGGGTAAGATTAATCATTAGCCTTTGCACTGTTAAGATCATGAGTTTTAACTTTGTATCTTCCTGGGAAGAATAATTCTTGACCAGATATAAATCAGGTTGTGAAGTTTATGGTTTTATCTTAGTGGTAAATAAGAGTACATACAAGTTGATTTGTAGGCCTGGTTACTAAGTGTCTATTACTAACATGTACAGCTTGTTATATGCAATATAACAATGCAGTGCACAGCTACTAATTTATCTGGGTAGGAACATAATGATCTATCACTGAAACAGGTTTATTGGCAAGTTGAATGATGGGGCTATCCTTTTTTATAGGGACCTGAACAGTTCCAACTTTCTGGGGTATAAGACCAGTTTAGGCTTAATTAATTTATTAGATAGCTCTTTTGTATATTAACCCTTTGAGTTGGGTGTTTTGGTCAATTGTGTGATGTTTAAATGGGTTTATTTCAAAGCTTGTTTACACTTTAATAGCAATATAATCGTGGTAAAGGTTTCTCTGTGGCAACTACTGCACATTCAGCATTGCCAGAGAAGATGGTGTAGAGGTGGCATTCTTATTCTGTATGTCATTTCTATGACCAGAAATGTTTGTTACGTAAGGGCTTTTAAATTCCTCCAAACACTGTGTGTGCTCATAATGCTAACTTGATGAGGCAGGGATAGTCAAGAGCAGAAGGGAAATATACCAGATTTGCCACCAGGCAAATTTTTTTTTTTTTTTTAAATACCTAGGCTTTTTAGATACCTTCTGTAATACCTAAGCTTTTAATAAATTACCTCCAAATATACAAAAAAAGCCTTTATTTAGACATCATGGCATGCATTTTCTTATTTCTGTTTTCTCCTTACAAACCTTTAAATACTCAAGTTGAAGTGGGAAGCAAAAGAAACATTCATTAAGTGCCAAATTAAGATATCTGTTACAAATATTGCATCCATAAATCACAGAGTTCAGAGGAATCTCCAAAATCATTTATTGAAGCATGTTTTTTTTTTTTTTTATTAAGAATCCTAGGCCCTGAATGTTTAAATGCCTTGCCAAAGATCTAGAAAGTATTTCCTGGCAGAATCTGGGCTTGGACTCAGGCCTTCTGACTTCTCATCTGCTTTCTTCTATGTTGTACCTTCCTGAGGACTGTCTTAATTCATTTTATGGCTGCCAGTCCCATAAGTTCCAATTATGAGTGTGTAACGAATATTTAGAATAAAATGGGTTAAATTGCACCTCAATGTGCTGAGCCTATCTCCTGGAACACTAAGTACCCGTTTTGTTTTGCTTTGTTCTTTTTTTTTTCCTTCTCTCCTCTCTGAATAGTTGTGAAAAGCAAGTTGAAAAGGTATGTAGGTATGTCTGTAATGTAGCTGTATATGTTTCTGGCTCCTTAAAATGACTTTCATTTCAGTGAATTATCTGTCATTTTTCTGACTTTATACCTGTAATCTTTCTCTTTTTTTGGTATGAATACAGTTTTTATTGAGCATCTAATTTGTGTCCCACTGTTCTAGGCACTGGAGATAACACAGTCCCAATTTACATGGGCACATACCTAGATAAGTGGGTATTTACAATCAAGCTTGTGAAATTTTTTTTCCGTATATATTTCTCTTTTTTGCTTGTACATTGTAATATATTTTGAATTCTGTGTAGATTACATCATGTTCACCACCCAAAGACTAATTACAATCCATCACTACACATGTGTGCCTAATCACACCTTTTGCCCTCCTTCCCCCCCCCCCCCCCCCCCGCCTACCTGTAATTTTACAGGGACTAGTTCCTTATTCTTTCTGATACATTGAAATTATCAATCAAAATGAAACATTGCTTAAAAAAGAAAGTTAAATAGGTTTATTTCTTGACTTAGTCTTTTTTTCAGTAATAGTGTTCACTTCTTTCTGAGGCTGACAGTAGGTGAAGCATCCACCTTGTATAAGTCAAGAAGATTCTGCTTTTCTAGACAGGTTGAATGTCCAGTTGGAATTTCTGAAGGTTCCATAAACTCTAACTTACCATTTGTGTTTTGCATAGTTTTTGCCCATATCAGGGCTTTGTTTTATTCAAGGTACACTTATGGAACATGCTTTTAAATAAAACATAGTCTTTTTACCCTTGATGATGATGATTTTTCTGCTGAGATATATTCCAGAAATTTAAAAATTCTCACAGTCATATACTAACACCATACTTAGCATATTTAACACATTGTCAATGAGAAAAGATTGGGGAAAGTCTGCTGTTTTCAAAACCTTCACCAAAATTGAGTTCACTTTCAATTTTTCACATCTTTCTACACTGGCATCTAAATAATTGATTAGATTTATGCTTTAAAAAATTATCTCAGAAACCCATTTAAATAGATCTTTTTCCTTTTATTCTAGGCTCTATTTATCATGCAATGGTCTTGAAGAAAAGGGATGTAATAAAGAGTATAGTCAATATTAGTTTTAAGGCATAGCCCCCATGTATTTACTGGAAATTTTTCTCATGAATCGATCAGTGACATCTATAAAGTCTCATAATTGAGGTTTTCCTCATCTTTTTCTGTACTTAGCAGAATTGTTACTCATATTCGGTGGCATGCATTTTCCCTTTTCAAACATTTACTTACTGGATCCACAGAGTGCTTTTTAGAGGGGGGATTGGAATGAAATGAATCCTTCATTGAATAAGATTTTTGTTTTAGCTTAAAAATGAATTCTGAAATATTAATTACTTGTTTTCTTGCTAATGTAAGAGCAAAAACAATTTAAATGATTATGAACAAGTTGGGAAAATCAGTGTTTATACAACAATATCCGCTGGGGGAGGGGGGAAGCTATTGTTCTGTGAATCCCTTTTAAGGCAGCTGCTTTGAAATTTATGTTAATTATCATGGCTTTTCCTTTTTTGCATAAATGAGAATTATGTGTTAAATGTTTTATTTTGTATTAGGTGCAAATGTCAATTGTCAAGCTTTGGATAAAGCAACTCCTTTGTTCATTGCTGCTCAGGAGGGCCACGTGGAATGTGTGGAGCTTTTGCTGTCCAGTGGGGCAGATCCTGATCTTTACTGTAATGAGGACAATTGGCAGTTACCTATTCATGCAGCTGCACAGATGGGCCATGCAAAGTAAGTGTTAAAAATGGAAAATACAAATGGTCTCATGATTAAAAGGTAATAAGGAAGAAATCTTCTGGGCCAGACCTTTTACCTCCAGGCAAAATCCTTGCTATTTCCTTCTCTACCAGTCTGCTGGGTGACTAGATCTACTCATATCTGTCCTCCGTGTCATCTCCAGGCCCTCTTAGTCTTGCACTTTTCTAGTGTGAGGTAGAGTGGCTAGAGTCCACATAACCCCAGGGACTTTCTCAGGGTGTTAAGTCTTCCCTCTGATTTCTCAAACTATAGCCTTGCTCTCCCAGTCCTCTCCAGTTTTAGCCCAGGCCTCTTCAGGTAGTGATCTGAAGGCCTTATTCAACTTCTTTACGTTACCTCCCTGACCCCCAAAACTTCTGAGTTTGTGACACCCCCCCTTGGAGTCGAGTCTTTCTTTTGTCTGGGTTGGTAGTTCTCCCCATCGTGAATTCTTTGACTGGATTTCTTTATCTAATCTCAAGTCCAATCTGGTACTTTTCTCTGCTTCTATTACTCTTCTTCGTTTTTTTTTTTTTGAGGAAGATTAGCCTTGAGCTAACTGCTGCCAATCCTCCTCTTTTTGCTGAGGAAGACTGGCCCTGAACTAACATCCATGCCCATCTTCCTCTACTTTATATGTGGGACACCTACCACAGCATGGCATGTCAAGCGGTGCCATGTGCGCACCCGGGATCTGAACCAGCGAACCCTGGGCTGCCAAAGTGGAACGTGCGAACTTAACTGCTGCGCCACAGGGCCAGCCCTGCCCCTATTACTCTTCTTCCTTAGCCAAAATTTCCCATGAAACTTTGGTATTTCTTGGAGAGAGAGAAAGGCTTAAAGAAAGTTGGAATTCCCTGAAGTTGGGGGTTCCAGGAGTCTTAGAAGCTTGGTTATACCTATGAGAATATGACAGTCTATCGTAACATGAGTTGGCACTGAACAGTTTTTTAAAATATGTTTAAAGTCTTTAGAGTCATAATTCTGCAATAATAATTTTAAAACTATTGTTAATATTATTTAATTTAAAAAGTAGTAGTGAAATGATCGTTACTTTAGTGTGTTTCCATAGTAGGAAAACAAATTCTGTAATTTGGTTATTATGCCACTAGGTGGCATGGTATTTTACTATTTCCTTAAAGATATTCATAAGCGTATTTGTGCCTTGTCGAAGAGTATAATTTTTCCAACCCATTTAAAAAAATTAAACACATTTATTAACTTTAAGAGATGTTAAACAGATCCTTTATTTTAACAAAATACATGGGTTTTAAAATTTGGTATTTTCTTAATTGTTGATTATTTATTTAAACATAAATCTTAGGTACACTTGTACTCTGTGCGTGACATTGATACCAAAACCCTCTTGGGAATTTGTTCTCAATTTTGAGGATTCTGTTTGTTGCTAACGCTTTCCTCCATAGACTACTTCTACGGTAACCCCTCTGTGAATGGAAGATCTCCTTCAGGGTTATCATCTCAGGCCTGCCTTACATGAGGAAAAGTAGCAAAGAGAAAGAACGTTATGATGATATGTTGGAGTAGCCCTGCCTTCCTTTTCCTAGAAAGAGGGGCGCTCCTGGCTCACATTAGCCCTACAATTGTATTTTAAATTTTAGAATAGTAGACTAGTCTTTTCTCTCTGGCTGAAGGTAAGTTTACAAGTAATCTAAGAACTTATGTTTTAGTAATTTTCTTTAGAACTTTCTCTGCTTAACCAACTTCTTTATAAATCTGCCTTGGTGTTTGAAGAGCTCATATTATTTTCAGAGAATAGAATATGTTAGCAGAAACTCTGATTTCTTCCTGATGAAAATACTATTCATGTCACTTACCATCTTTAAAAATTCTTATTAATGAGAAAGATAAAACTTTAATTTTTACTTTAAGAAGGAAAGTAATTTTTCTTGATACAAGTTTATATTTGGTATAATGAAGTTTTAAAGTATTAGATCCTAAAATATCTAACATAAAATTTGAATTTGGGGAATAAGGTGAAGGTGGTAAGGTAAATAATTAGTGAAAAAATAAAAAAGGACAACTGTTATCTATTTATTTATAGGAACATTATTTAATTCTGTTTCAGATATGTATAAGGACGTTTGTATTAAGCAACACTAATAAGTGTAAGATTTGGGAGTAGAGAGCCTGCAATAATTTAATGTAGTTAGGAGGTTCACTGAGGACAGATGGACTTCTTTATATCAGTGAATAGGTGTCTGTTAATATATGTGCTGGAGAAATGCTGCCTACATTCATGTCCGTATAAAAACATTAATTGCTCCTGAATTTGTGTACTTGCAGAATCTTGGACTTGTTAATACCACTTACTAACCGAGTCTGTGACACTGGGCCAGACAAAGTGAGCCCTGTTTACTCAGCAGTGTTTGGAGGCCATGAAGCGTGCCTAGAAATGTTACTCCGGTGTGGCTACAGCCCAGATGCCCAGATGTGCCTCGTCTTTGGATTCAGTTCTCCCATGTGTATGGCTTTCCAAAAGGAGTATGTATATTTGCTATATTTTTATTCTTTTTTTGCTTTATGGAGATGTATTTACAAGTGACTTTCTTTTATGATGAAACTTTGTATCTCTTAGTGCTAAATTGCTAACTTAGAAACAAAACACAGGGGCTGGCCCAGTGGCGCAGCAGTTAAGTTCACATGTTTCATTTTGGCAGCCTCATGTTCACTGGTTCCGATCCTGGGCATGGACCTATACACTGCTTGTCAAGCCATGCTGTGGCAGGCATTGCACATATAAAATAGAGGAAGATGGGCATGGATCTTAGCTCAGGGCCTATCTCCCTCAGCAAAAAAGAGGAGGATTGGCGGCAGAAGTTAGCTCAGGGCTAATCTTCCTCAAAAAAAAAACACAGACAAACAGAAAAAACCCTCTCTGATGGGCCTTGATCAGTCAATGTACAGTAGAAATGAAGTGATAATGTCAGATTTTTTTCCTTTCCTTTTTGGATCTGGATTATATTTTTAAAGTAGCAATTTTAGGGAATATTTTCAGTATATTAAAGTAAATTCAGGAATTCTCTGATATCCTTGGTCTTCAAAACAGTTCAAGAATTAAAACACACTTTCAGTTATATGATAAATAAGGTCTGAGAATCTAATGTATATCATCCTGACTATCGTTGATAACAGTTTTGTATAATTAAAATTTGCTAAGAGAGTAGAACTTAAATTCTCTCACTGACAAAAGAATCTAAATATGTGAAGTGATAGATGTGTTTAATTTGATGAGGGAAATCCTTTCACAATGTATACTTATATCGACTCATTTTGTACACTGTAAGTATCTTACAATCTTATTTGTCAATTATACCTCAGTAAAGCTGGGGCAAAAAAAAAGAAGAAAGAAGAGTTAAAAATGACTTTATCAAGTAAGGCATTGACTGTGTTTCAGATTATTTACCATTTGAAATTTATATTTACAAGACTTATGAGCCTAAAAATAAAACTTCAGTTTTGTAGATATTTGTACTTTTAATGTATTTGGTTTGTAGCATTTCTTTATGTGAGTCAGAGTAATAAAATTAAAGTCTTAAAAATATTTGTTTTGCTAATCTACCATGATCCTGTGAAGTAGAATACCTGAAGAATTACTGCTGCTTTGTTAGCTTCTGGCCTATACTCGTCTATAAGACTCCTAAGGTTTTAAAATAGATGGTAAGAATAAGGCAATGTTTAAGAAAAGTCATGTTGAGTAATATCTATGGTCCATCCAATAATGGAATAAGTTGTGTGGATAGATGCTATTTTTTTTTAAATTTTATTATTATTATTATTTTTCCCTTTGGTGAGGAAGATTGGCCCTGAGCTAACATCTGTTGCCAATCTTCCTCTTTTTGCTTGAGGAAGATTGTCCCTGAGCTAACACCTGTGGCGGTCTTCCTCTATTTTTTGTGTAGGACACTGCCATAACATGGCTTAATGAACGGCATGTAGGTCGGCACCCAGGATCTGAACCTGCAAATCCCAGGCAGTTAAGGTGGAGTGCACAAACTTAACCACTACGCCACTGGGCTGGCCCCTACATGCCATTGTTTTTAATGACACAAAAGAGGCTACAAGCATACCTCAAATTTCTTTGGCTTTCCTGAATTCACTATTATGGGTTGCTATCCGTGATTTAATTTAAATATCTCTCAAAAGCTTATTTACTAACCTTTTCTGTCTCTACCCCCTCTTAACATTTGCTATATAAAATAGTTCATTTTTATTCTGAATTTAAACTTCCAGTTATATATTGTAGTCTGAATATTTGGGGTTTTGGTTAATCGGAGTATCTGGGACCCACTCTATGCATAACTTTCGTGATTTCATAGAAGTTCGTTGTATACCCCCTTCAGTTTTGTCTTTCTAAACATTTTAGTTTACCTTCACTGAGGCTGTGTTGATGACTTCAGTTGTTTCTTCATTTATCTTTCTCTATACATATCTAACTCCATTGCATTTTATTATTAGGTCAGAATTGAACTTTTTTTTTTATTAGATAAGAACATAATATTTTTGGGTAGTTTGTATGTGTATGTGTCCAATATAATGATAGTCTTTTTTGACCTTCAGTTACCTTTTGGAGGAATGATGTTTTTGGTTTTTCTGGTCCCAGTAAACTTGTACTTCATCATCTTATAAGTGTAGTTTGAATTAAACCATATAACCAAGTGCTCTTGTTAATCCTAAAACACCTTAAAATTAATGTTTTCTGGCCTGAGGAATCAGGTAAATAGAATCCTGTGGGAAAAAAGTGTGAGGGGAATCCTGGAGAAGGGGATCCTCTACTTGTGTGTATGAGCTTGCACATGTCCCGAGTTCACCCCAAGCTCTGAATGCACAGGACAGACCCACATTGTTGAAAACAAGATTTAAACTCTCACCCAAGTCTCAGGCTCACCCCTGAGTGGCATGTTTCCTGAGACCAAACCCAGAGCATCATGGCAAAGGCTTTGAGAACTGAGCTGACATTGGAACCACTGTCTATAGAAGGTGAAACAAAAATTGTAGTCTGAACCTAACTAGGTTATATACCTCCTAAAATAAACAAACAAAAATCAGTATTCTTCAAAGGATTGTAGCAGGACATGGGACCCAGAGTCTCTGTAACATTAACATTCACAATGTCTAGGATACAGTCTAAAATTACTTGACATGCAAAGGATCAGTCAAATATGACCAATTCTTAAGGGAAAAGACAGTTAACAGGTGCTAATCCTGAGATGATCCAGATATTGGAAATAATAAATAATTGAAAGCAGCTTTTATAACTGTGCTTTATGAGGTAAACACACTTGAAATAAATAGAAAGGTAGAAATTCTCAGCTAAGAAATAAAAACTATAAAAACAGAAACAAATGGAAATTTCATAACTGAAAAATATAATATCTGAAATGAAAAATTTACTACATTGGCTCCATGGCAGAATGGAAGTGACAGAGGAAGCAACTAACTTGACTATAGATCAATAGAAAATACCCAAAAAGAAGAACAGAGAGCAAAAAGATTGGAGGGGGTAAAAAAAGAACAGAGCCTCAGGGACCTGAGGGACAATGTCACTGGGTTGGCATTTGTGTCATTAGAGTCCAGAAGGAGAGGAGAAGGAGATTGTCACAGAAAAATTATGTGAACTAATAATGGTCAAAAACTTCCCAACATTGGATAAAGACCTAAGGTTATAGATTTAGGAAGCTTGGTAAGCTGATACAGGACAAAGCCAGGGAAAAACATGCGCAAAAATAAACTCCTGGAAACCAAAAGTACAGAAGCAGCAGGGTGGCGTATGTGGCCCTTGATCACAGACGTGAGTAGCAACCTTCGTTCTTTGCATGTCTTGGAAATTTTGCTGTGGAAAGTGGCCCTGGAGAGCGTAATTGTTTGATGGCTTTACAAGGGCTTATCAGCTGTTTTCTTCTGTGTGGGAACTTGTAATAGGACCAAAGGTATTCTTAATTAGTAAGGTAGGTTTACAGTAATAAAAGTCTTTGGAAGATACTGTTTCTTAATCTATAGGGAAAAAGCTAAAACATCAAAATACCTGTTTTATGAGGGTACATTCCCCTAGTCTTTCTAATTTACTTTTAATTTCTTTGCCTGGGACCCATGGCCATAGACTTAATTTTGGTACATCTTTGCCATTATTATCTACATTGTGGGGAATTTAATTGAAGGGGAAACCTTTACTAAGGGACTAAAAGTTGGTAGCATCATAATCACATATGCTGGCATTTAATGTGTATATATAAAGGAGATAAGTATAGTACATTGCACAATTTTTGGCACATAGTAGAACAGTATCAAGGTTAATTTTCTTCTCTGCCATCCTCTTTATTTAGAAAACAATTATCAATTAGATTTTTGGTCTCTATTTTATATTTATATTAGCTAATGTCTGGCTATTAGGTTGCATGTCAGTCACTGTACATTTAATGTGAAAATCATTTGATTATTTTGAGACTCTGTGTAAAACTTTGCTGATCAAACAAGGAAACTGTCATTCTCCCACCAGGTTTTGTTTTGGTACATCAAGAGGGTAATACAGCCAAGTGTCTAGGGGAAAAAATCAAAATTGAAAAATTTAATTAAAATTTTTTTTTTCCGAGGATGATTTCCTCTGAGCTAACATCTGCTGCCGGTCTTCCTCTTTTTGTATGTGAGCTTCCGCCACAGCATGGCCACTGACAGATGAGTGGTGTAAGTCTGCGCCTGGGAACTGAACCCGGGCCAGTGAAGCAGAGTGTGCTGAAATTAACCACTAGGCCACCTGGGCTGGCCCAAAATTTGTTAGGTCTTTGTTATTTATTTCAATAAGTATGAATCTTAAATTTGGATTTTCTACAGTCACAATAGCTAAAAATTAATTAAATTAATTAGGATTTCCATTTTAAAAAGTAAGGATAATTCAACATAATTTCTGTTTAAAAATAACTATTGTGTGCTATTGCTCCCTAATGAAACAGTGTCTGAATTTTCTATTTTCCATTTACCAATTATTATTAAGAATTTGAGTTTTGGTCACAATAATAGTACCAGGGAACTTGGCAGACCCCATTTGCCAAAATTAATTATTAGATATTCACATTTTCAGAGATTTGGTAATAGATAATAAGTTTAGTTGTATATATTTTGAAACTCTATTTTTATAGCAACAATGTGTTGTTATAATAATGTTAGTTTGGTATAAGATTGTTATATAAAAAGATTTAATCAACACTTATCTGACTTTAGGTGCTAATGAGTCAAAAACTTCTTTTTTTCTCATTTGTCTGTTGTCTGGTATTTCTCTGAGAGCTAGAAATTTAGTGTTTGTGGCCCTTGTGCTATTGGCCTGTTGTGTTCTACTAAACTTTTATCTATTTTTACAAATAGTACAATGAATATCAAAAGGGGATGGCAGTAATAAATATAAATAATGATTCTGGGTTTTAAGTTTTCCCTTCTTTATTGTTTGGTCAGCTGATTTAACTTTTTAGCGCAGTATTTGCATTCTGAAACATTTCTGGTGGGTGTCCCTTCGAGAGGATGAAATTCCATTTGAAGCAGTGCCCTTCAGCTCTTCTCCCACTCCAAGGCAGGTGGAGTGGTGTCTCCTCCACCACTGTACAAAGTAGGCTTAGTCCTTTGGGACTAAAATGTTAACAGCTGCAGTGATGTGAAAGCCAGCCTTTCAGGGGCACAGTTGAATAATTCTACTCAAATGAGAAAATATAAGAAAAAGGTTCCTTTAACTGGAAAGGGTGAAGGAGGAGGGAAGTTGAGAAATTTCAGGGCAATTTGAACAAATATTAATGCCTTTTATATATGCCTGTCGAAAGAGATCGTGGGTTAACTGACCTGATTTTGTCTGTCTAATTGATACTGTTCATTGTTATCACATTAGTTTTTTAGAAATCATCGTGTCCATTCTCGTCACCGTATCACACATGGGTACATCTGACAAGAGCTAGTGTCTTCATTTTGTTTTCTGCTCATGGCTGAAAGGCATGCAGTAAAACTTAGTATATGGCCTATTTGATAATTCAGCTAATAAGTTGGTTTAGGTATTTTGTTGGCTAATTGAACATAAAATGCTCAAGATGTTTGCCCATTTCTATTTGTTTAAATCTTGTTAACATGTTGAATTTTTTTTACTATGCCTCTTTTATCTGGGCACTGTTTCTGTGCACATTTTCAAACTTCAAAGAGCAGAATGATGGAAAGTATATAAGCCCCCAAATAACGTCTAGACATTGCTTTTTTACTTTTTAAACCTCCCCTCTTTCTTAGTATCTGATGATTTTCACTATTTATATAGCATGCAGTCTCTTAATTTGTCACAGTTAGTTCTTAATATTTATGTTAAATAGGATGGACTTTCTTTTTGATCTCTAGGACTTGAAGACTTTTTCCAATTCTTCATCAGGGCTTGAGAGAGAATTAGTTTAAGTGTTAAGAGAAATTCATGCATCTGTCCATGTAGTTTATATTTTAACCAAAGGTTCTTTAAGCCTCTGAGTCTACTGTTGCTCAATGACATGTAATGATCAAGGTCATATAGAGCACTGAAGTTGCTGGTTTCTGGAGCTTGTACATATACATGAGACCTTCTTAATAGCCTTCTCAGAAGCTCAGGGCATGCTGACAAAGTTTTACGATCCTGCAGTTTATTTTGTGTTCATCATTCACCATATAAATGGTAGTTTTCTTGGAAAAGGGTCTAGAATGTAGCACTAGACAGTTTCTAAGCCTTTGAGGAGTATGGTCTTGTCTCTTCTACCACAAGGCAATATGATAATTGGAAGGAGTTTAGAGCTGGGTTTTCTGAAGTGTGTTTTGTAGAATACTAATACTGTGGATTGTTAATAGATATTACGTGGGATAAAAGGGGTTCTTTAGTTAATTGAGTTTGGGAAACAGAAAGCAATATTAAATAAGTCTTCTGAAGGGCTTGTAAGAGTTTTCCTTATGGTGGTGTTTTATGAATTCCTAAGAGGGGAGTGAGTCTACAAGTTTGAACAGTTTGGAAACATAGGTTTAAACTGTTTAAACATAGGTGAAAACTGTTTAAAACCATCAGTCGGGACTTAGGTTTACAATAAATATACTGTTGTTCCTGTGTTTACAGACTTTTAGGGCATTTTATACTCTTTATTCCACTTTTTTCAGATTAACAATTGGACCCATTGCTTTAATTTTAAAAGTACTTCCTCTGAAAGGTGTCTGGAGGTTGGAGAACAACATTGGAGGATATAATTTGAAAATGTAATTAGCATACTGTTTAAAAATAAGTTCATCCTATATTTCACCCTTTTTTGGTCTCACTGTATACTAGATAGAGTTTCTCAAATACTTTCATTATGGAACCTTTTTTTTTTTCTTTTTTGATGTGGAGGATTGGCCCTGAGCTAATATCTGTTACCAATCTTCCTCTTTTTGCTGGAGGAAGATTGTCCCTTAGCCAACATCTGTGGCAGTCTTCCTCTATTTTGTGTGTGGGACGCCGCCATAACATGGCTTAATGGATGGCATGTAGGTCCACACCTGGAATCCAAACCTCAAATCCTGGGCAGCTGAGGTGGAGCGCACAAACATAACCACTATGCCACTGGGCTGGACCCTATAGAGCCTTTTTCACATGGATAGTTTTCAGGGACTAGTATTCCATAGAACATACTTTGGGAAACACAGGTCTGGCCTTAAAATATTTTTCAATTTGACTATTTCATGAAGTGTTCAGTTTTCATAGTAGTTAGAAGAGAGACATTTCAGATATTTGCTGTATCATAATCACCTTTAGATTTTGGTTTGATATTCTTATCCCAATTCTACCAATTACTAGCTCTGTGACTAAATGCAGTTTTTGCATCTAGAATGGAGATAATAACAGAACTTACTTCTTAGGACTGTTGTGAGGATTAAGGCAAAATCTTCTACGTAACACATTTAATGTAGTGCCTGGTACAAAATAAATAATAAAGTTTGATATTATAGAGAATTATACATGTACGTGTTCCTCTCACATTTTAGAGATGCATGGTTTATCCTTTGGCCTTGTTTCTAAAATTTTCTTAGCATGATCCACATGTATATATTGAAATTTTAGTAAGAAAGCCTCCTGGTTTTGTAGTTCTTTCTAAACAGAAAATGACTAGAGAACCTGTCTGTAGCACTTTATCTAACAGGGTGCGTTTAGGGCTTGCATCTACCTTTGTATTCTGTAGCAAAAGTATATCTTCTTTAAGACCTAAATCATTAAGGACTAAAGTATCTATTGTTAGGCTATTGATGGTTTCAAAGTGTTTGAGGGAAGAATTCAACCAATCCCTGCATTGCACAGGTAAACACACATGCCTTGAAAATTGCGGGCTTCTTCAGAATTATATATCCCATTTGTAATGAGGCAGTGCTTTGAACTTTTCTCACAGTTTACCTGCATATTTATTGGCACATGTTCAGCAGTCCGTGTGTAGCTTGTCTGTTCTGTAGTGGAATCGGCAAATAATCACGGCAGGGAAAATAGTGAGAGCTTAGTTAAATGAGGTTAAAGTGGTTGAAATAAATTGGTGAAAACTGTTTAAAACCATCAGTCAGAAGTATATTCTTTAGCATTTCTTGTAGTGCTGGACTGCTGGCAACAAATTCTCTCAGCTTTCCTGTATCTGAAAGCAGCCCAAGGAAAAAATACATACGTACAGGGCTGTTTTCAAGAACAATGATATGAATGATATACTTCTCATCAGGAACAAATAGCAAGATGGTAGGCAGACAACAAAGTTATTAATTTTTATAAAGAAATTTTAGAATTGTAGATTTTTCTTTTCTGATTACTGTGCAAATGATTAAAAGTAAAGAGAATACTTTGTTTAATCATTTACCTAAAGAAAGGAAGCACAAATTGGAGAATAACTGAAATGAGTTAAGTGATATTTTGCTTATGTATATAGTGTTTTAACTACTTTAAAACTTGAAGTTCCATGCATAAGTCCTTGAAGTAATTGGTCTCACATGACAGTGGTTTAAACATTTTATATTTGTTTTCTGTATAATTTTTATGCCTCTATTTAGATTCTATAATACTATGAGTAATGAAGTAATTCTTTTTTGTCTATAGTTGTTTCAAGTAACATTAATACCAATTTCAAAAGGAGAATAATTTTCTTCTTACATGTTTTCTTTCCTGGTTGTCTACATAGTGAACGCGCATGTTTACTGAGCTTTGTTACAGATAAAGTTATATCAGAAACAGTTTTTTTTAATGTGACTACACAGCCATGATACTTGCAGTTTTTGATGACTATATCATATTTTGTACTTATCTGCTTCTGTGTTGGACATTTAAGTAATTACTTTCTTTTTAAAGTCTGTTATAGGTAATACTATGGTTAACATATTTGTGCACATAGGATATAATTTCTTTTTGATTTTTTCTCTTGGATAAATTGCCAAGATTTATGTTTATTATATTTTAATTTATAGTTTGCTTTATATATCATTTTATTTTACAAATACTTAAATAGTTCTAGTTCTGTGTGCGAGAAAGGTTAAGTAACTTGCTCAGAGTCACACAGCTAGTAAGTGACTGAGCACCTGCCTCCAGTGTCTGTGGTCCTTATAACTGTGCTGTGATCCCTCTTTCGATACATCCTGCCACTTAGCTCTCTCAAAAAAAACTTACACTTATTTTCAATCGATTTAACCACAATTTACAAGTATTAGAGGATAAATTTTTTTTAAAAAAGTAACCAATTTAATAGGTGTAAAATGATATACTTTTATTCTGTAATACTACTTGATAAAGAAGATAATTTAAAAATATAAATCTGTAAGTTAAATTTTTCTTCATTAGAAAGAAAAGCTTTTCTACATGGTTTTTTTTTTTACCATTAGAAATTTAGAAGTAAGAGGGAAATTGGCTACAGCTATTGCTAAAGGAAATGGTATCTTAGAGATTCCTAGAATGAGTCATCTGTCTTTAGGGACTGAACACATTGTTTATTAACTTTGTTTAACAAATATTTTATAGTAGAGATACTTAATTGAACAAAAATATCACAGTTTGAGGAGAGTTTTCTGTTCGTCAATGATAATTTTAAAAATTGTTAATTTTAAATTCTAAGGGTACTACCTGTTCATAGTTGGAAATTAAAAACCACACAGGAGGGTGTAAATTATAGCATAAAACCCCTCTTTCGCCTAGTCTCAATCCACTAGACATGTAAAAACCTTCTACTATCCTGTCTGCCGTTCATTTAGTCTCCAGCTTTAACTACTGTTAACTGTAAGAATTCTTTTTTTATGTAAAAGTCGAACTTCTGTTTCTCTTTTTTTCTTGTGGTGTAGCTGCGAATTCTTTGGAATTGTGAATATTCTTTTGAAATATGGAGCCCAGCTAAATGAACTTCATTTGGCTTACTGCCTGAAGTATGAGAAGTTTTCAGTATTTCGCTACTTTTTGAAGAAGGGTTGCCCGTTGGCACCATGGAACCATATATCTGAATTTATAAAGCATGCAATTAAAGCGCAAACAAAATATAAGGAATGGTTGCCATCTCTCCTGCTTGCTGGATTTGACCCTCTGAATCTACTATGCAGTTCATGGTAAGAAATGCTACCATAGTGGACCTTACCATTTTTGAGAGAATATACTACCTTTGATTTCCTCTAATTTCTTGAGATCCCTGTGTTAAGAGGAGGGGGTGTGTGTGTGTGTGTGTGTGTGTATATGTGTATGTATGTGTGATTTGACTGTAACGGCTAGGTTGGGCTGAAGGAGTTGGAGGGCTGCTAAGAGTGAGATTGAATGTAAGGATACAGCCCTGGAAAAAGGTAAGAGGTGACTGGAAGGGAGTAGAAAGGTATGGATGCCAGTGGACTCTTCTGAGAAGGATATTTTTTCTGCTTAGCCATTCCCGTGCTCCTCTTAAAATGCAGGTGACAGAATAGTTGCAGCTGCTTTAGAGATTTCTGTTATCCCTTAGTCAACTAGATTGAATCCTCCTGTCCTACAGCATTTTGTCTGTTTGAAATTTGTCTCACTTAATACTGATTTCTGCAGCAGTTCAGGATATAACTTGTTTACAGCAGATAGTCTCTCAGAACAGCAGCCCCTACAAGTGATTATATGAAAGTTGAGTTAGGATTTTTCTTGGGCAAAAAGAGGAAGACTGTTCCTACCAGCTCCAGCCTTTGCAAGAGTTCTTAGTGTCTAGATGGGGCCGAGAAGGTAACTGGCGGTGAGAGGACTCTTTTGGCCTGATCATTCAAGTCAAATGAGAAAGTAGAATAAAGGTGTCTAGGAAAATAGAGGACATGGATATTTTATAAAATTCAATGAAACATCAGAAGTCTTCATTTTTATGCTTCATAAACTACCATTCACTAAAATAATATTTAGATGAATACTGAGATTTTGTGTTTCAGCAGAAAAGTGCTTTGATATCTTCTTATTTGAGTTTTTCCTTTCAGAAGAGGTCCTCTTAGAGGTTCAGGTTTAGTTTACATTTCTGGGGACTCCATCTTCCGCCTGGTGGCTTCACCATCTTTAGGTGAAGAGCAGGTCTTTATTTGGCAGGATCCCAGCATCTCCCCCTTTTAGTATGTCTGCCGTTATATGGAGTTCAGGAATTTCACTAAGCGGAGGTTTTATGCTTAGGACTATGATCCCTTTCTGATACTAAGTGTTTCAGATATGTGGTTTGTAAGGAAAAACTGCTTTCTGGTGGGCGGTTTGAGGAATATAGCAGTAAAAGCAAAGTTTAGATACACGTTCTGATCTCCACTTTCCTTTTTTATAGTTTACAACAGGTTGAGTCCTTGATTGTATTTACTCCTTTGTCCAGTAGCTGATTAACTCATAGTTATCTGTTAAATGCGCATAGTTATCTGTCAAGTGCTTTTCCATAAATGTTCACAAAAATCCATTGTATTTTTTAGATAATTGAATGAAATGTGAAGATTATTGACAATTCATTGAGAAATGTCTGATTTTTTAAAAGTTACTTGTGTATGTATATTTGACTTAAATCCCTTTTATATGTGTGTGCACACACACACATGCACACTGTTGAGAGAAAAACACTTGCTAATGAATGCTATATCTAGCTATTAACAAAGCTGTTTGGGTACCTTAAACTTTTTACTTAGTGCGTCTTATTGTTGTATCCGGGCTCCTGACAGCTAGCACCAGTTGCCCCTCTCCATTCTAGGGTTTACTTCCCGGCTGCTGCTGTAAATGCAGCTCAACACGTGGCTGAGGATAGCCCTGACAGTGTGTTCCCTTTCCTCTGCCACCCACTTGGTGCTTGTCCCCAAGGTACCCATTTTCTTCTCAGCGACACTCCTTGTGTTCCTCTACTGAAGGTACTAACTTGACTCCGTACTAGTTGCCCATCATTACTTTCAGCCTTCCTGCTCCATCCTGGCTTCTAGTTTATTTCTTTCTTTAACTAACACTTAGAATACTGCCTGACACAGAGTAGACATTACGTTAGTTCTTTACTGTACTAACTCATTTAATATAAAATACGGTAGATACTATTATCCTTGTTTTACAGAGGAGAAAATTGAGGCACAGAATGTTTAAAATACTTCCTGAAGCTCACACAGCTAGTTAGTGCTAGAGCTTGATTTGAACCCAGGCTGTCCCGTAGTGTGGCTCAAGTCTGTTGTTCTGTTGTGCTGTGTTGCCTTAGCCCTGTGTATCCACAGGGATGCGGTAGCGAATCACTTAATTTCGGGTACCTTAATCCCTTGCCTGACTTGGGGAGATCTGTGCCAACTTGTGTTGCTTCTTCCTACTCCTAAATTAGGAAGAACCTATTCAGAGGAAAAAAATTAAATATTGCCTCTTTTCGTTTCCTCCTCAGCCAACTACATAGACTGCTGGAATAAGAGGGAATTATTTAGCTGTATTCTCCTAGAAGGATTTGTAAAATATACTCTCCCATCCTCAGTTCTGATATAGGCTCCCCTTCCTCCTGTATGAATAGCCCATTTAAGAATTTTTGTGGTAATAAACCACTGGGTGTGTGCTGTATTTATTGAATGTGTTAGGATAGAAAAGAGTTAAGAACCAGTAAACTACAAATTATTTTGAAGTAAATTGTAAAACTTTCAGCTATCTGAATTGAGAATGCCAGTTGCATCATTTTACTCCGAAGGAGTAACTTTAGTCACTTTTTATTTATTAGAAACAATACAATGGAAAATTTCACTTTAGCAATGAAAATGCTTAACATGGTTAAATTTTTGTTCACTGAATCTTTTACTAAATGGATAAAGCCAGTGTTTTCACTGAATATGATAAATGTTTTGCTTTCTTTGATTAAATTTATATTCAAGGAGCTGTTATAAGAAAAATTCTCCCATAAAAATTCCAGTATGTTGGTAAAGTGGATTTTGGTTGTATCTTATTTATATCACATGTAAGTGTGTTGCTTAATCTTTGTCATGTAAATTATAAATGTCTTTCCTAGGTATTGCTTGTCTTAAACAGTCTTAAAAAATGTATCTAGCTGAATAATTGCCTGTCACATGTAATCTACAGAGTTGAAATATATTTTCAACTTTAAATGCAAGACTAGGTGCCTCCCCCTCAAATGTAATAGGTGAATAATAGAAAGTAAATGTCATCCGTGCATTTAGTTGATTAGCTGTCACTCATTTATGATTGTACAACTGCTTTGTACGATGTAATGGTCAATGTAGTATAGTAACAATACATTTTTAGTGGCACTGTCAGCATTGGTAAAATAAACTCAGCAGTTTATTAACTAAAGCTGTATAAACAGATTTCTTTCTCCTGTGTGTTTAGATAGCTGCATGAAAATGACTTTGTGTTTAGTCACAGTGAGACTTAAAGCACATTAAAGCAGAAAAATGAAACCGTTAAAAAAAGAAATATGGGACCAGAACCAAGTAACCTTTGGTGTGGGTTTCCTGGAAAATCAAGGCAATTGTTTGCCTTTGAATATATTTTATCATTTCATTTATTCTCAGCGTTTCCTGAGAAGTTGTGCTTTCACTGAGAGCTTCCTGAGGAGTGAAATGTTTTCCCGAGATGTTTGTGCTGCACTTGACGCTCTTCCTTCTTTATGTCTGCATATTAGAGAATTAAGAATTTGGGAAACAATTTTCATAATCTCTAATCTGTCGTTTCAAGGATACTCTGACCCTGACATTCAATAAATAGTTGTCTTTGAGATAACTAGTGTATTATTTGGTTTCTTTCCTTTTTTTTTTCTATTTTTTTCCTTCTTTAGTCCTTGCTCAGTAATGTCTCCTAAAAGGCAACCTTGAAAAGAATTTCTATTTTTGAAATAATTTTCAGAGGCCCTAATCATTTTATTTTTCCTCAAACAATGTACTGATAGGGAAGTATCTAATTGAGTATGGGATGGGTGATTTTGTTAGAATTTAGAGTTCTCTTTAAGCTCTGACCAAATTTCGTGTGGTCGATGTTATAAGGCATACTGAAAATGTAACACTGAAAGTTTCAAACTAGTTTTAGTAATATCAAATATTTATATAACATTTTATAGTTTTAAAAGTGTGTTTACTATATTGTCCTATATTATTTTCACAAACAGTTTCCTGAAATAGTCAGGTTAAGTGTTATTCTCACTTTTGAGACCAGGATCTAGAGCTTAAAGATTTTAGGCAACATATTTGTAAGTAGTAGAGGTGCTATTACAAATCAAAACTTTTCTTAGAGCAGTGCCTTTCCATTAGTATCCAAATGCTTATAAACTTTTGGGAAGTCTCTTTTGGGTGGGTTGGTAGGAAATCTGACATTATTTTGAAAAAACAGAAGGAGAAGTGTTTATCTTGAACGCCTTTGTTCAGTCCTTAAAGATCAAAGTTATTCTGGACATCCTTTAAAGCTGAATCTATAATGGGGAAGGTTCTTAGAGGAGACCAATTGTACGTCTCTGGGAGTTGGGTAGAAATGAGTCATCTCTCTCATATACTCTGTTCAGGTGTAGCTGTGGCTGTTTGGGCTTTATCCTTTCAGGACTGTTAAATTATATGTCTGTAAAGATCCCCAATCTAGATTTGGCAAGATGGTCCACTTGGGAGGAGATGATGGCAAATCCACTGATGACACTGATGCTGTTTCCGTGTTTTCTTACCACTGCTGCTGGGGAACCGGAAGGAAAGTTCTTAGCCTCTACAAGAGTAGAAATTCCTTTTGTCATCTATTGGACAGCTACACAGAGTCAATTCACTTTCCTGTAGGAATCTGTAGATTATTCATATCCACTAAACTTGCCTTCAGTTACACGAGTATTTTCTGTTGCAGTTTTCTGTCTGCCTTCTACATTAAGATGTTGTAGGAGTAGGTATATGGTTTGTTTTCAGGTTAAGCCTTTGGTATGTTTTGTGTCTAATGGTGTGTTAACATCTTGCTAATATAGGATTGACTCAGTCAGTGATGACACCCTTATCTTCACTTTGGAGTTTACTAATTGGAAGAGACTTCCTCCAGCTGTTGAAAAGATGCTCTCTGCTCATGCCTCAAACTCCTCTTGGGCTCTACAGCAACATATTGGTAAGAAACAACAATTTTAAAACACACTTTACTACTTTTTCTTCTCTTTTTTCTCTAGCTATGTTGTAATTTTAAGTGATGAGTCTTTGGAGAACATATATTAAATTGAGCATCATTTGCATTTTCTTTATTTGGGGAAAGGACAGTGAAGGGGATCATAATAATTTCCTCCAACAAAAATTATATCTGATTTTGTAAGTTTACCCGAAGGAGCATATAAAGAAAAGCAGGGGTTTACTGATACTTTTATTTAATGATATACTTTTTAGTAAGGATTATATAAACAAAAGTGAATCTTGAAAATCTTATTAGTGAATATTTAGTTTGTGGTTAGAAAAATGCTAAACTTAATTTCCTCTTTGGATTGTATATGGATTTGTGTTCCGTCTTTAATATTTGATCATCTCTAAAAGGAAATATTACCATCCTTTATTTATACCTGCCCTTACTGAATGTATGCCAGTGTGTTGGTATAATATGACTATGGAGGTGAGCTAGGTGAAAATTCTGTGAATTGATTGATATTTTAAGTGATTGTTTTAAAACAAATTCTCAACTTACCCTCACTTATTAAACAGTTTTTAAGCTAGTTAAGAAAATTAAAGAGCACGCAGTAGAAGATTTTACGTAAGGAAGCCAATTTAAATTGAACATAATATATGCAAAGGATTCTTTACTTATTCAGATTTATTTTACTTTCACTATATTTTGTTCACCAGATTGTATGTCTTAAGTTGGGAGAGTTATTTCTTTGCTCCTGTTTTTGCATGAAATGTAACTCTTCATAAAACATGTTGAATACATTTTTAACAAGCAAACTTATGCATATGTAGAAATGTGTCTTCTGATTTCCTGGAAAATTACATTTAAGTAAATTTTCTCAATCAAAAACAGACATTCAGGAAAATATACTCTTAAACTGAGGTGCATTCAAACTGTTAGAGAGGTTTCTGTTGAAGAAAAAAAGTAATCTGGTTGAAGTCTCTGAGCCTTCTAGTACAGAATTTCTTTAATGATAATGTTGGAAAATTCACTTGCATGTAATTCTTAATATTGAGAATTGCATCTGCTTTCACTAATTATGTGTCTGCAGTAGTAGAGAACAAATATCTATTCAGAACAGACAGAATATGGGACAATGGATTTGGGAACAAAAAGTCAAAAGAGGGAGCATATGCCAAGTGGGAAAATTATTGCAGCATATCAATTAGTAAAGATATGTGAGAGTTTACTCTGAAGGCTTTAACATATGGCAGGTTTGTCCAGATGAAGGTAAAAACTGCGCATGAGTACATTACTCTGCAGTAGACTAAATCTATCAAGGGCTTCTTGTTTAATTAGGCACTAGGTAGAGCTTGTGTAGGGTAATAATCATCATCTCTTAAGAGGATTTTATTTTGGCTGAGGATTTGCAAAAGCCTGTCTCAGAGGTATTAATATAGCTAATGCTTTTCTGGTATATTTCTGTAGCCAACACGTCTTTTCTTGGTTCTAGTCCCATATATCCAACTGCCTTTTGGACATCTCCATTTGATATCCCATGTTTTGACATATACAGAATTTGAACTTGTCATTTTTCCTACAAATCCTGCTGTTCCTTCTTACCGTTTCCTGGCTTAGGGGGTGAGATGGTTTGGGAATGCGGTTTACGAAGAAAATGAGTTATCCCTGGCAGCTGTTTGCTATTTGTCTCACCCGTAGCAGTGGTGTTTAACAGGGATGATTTTGCCCCCCAGGGGATGTTTGGCAACGTTTGAAACATTTTTTGGTTGTCACAACTGGTAGGGTTGTTATTGCTGTCCAGAGGAGAGAGACGAGGGATGCTGCTAAAACATCGTACAATGCACGGGACAGCTCCCCACAACAAAGAATTATCTGGCCCCACGTGCCAGTAGTGCTGAGGTTGAGAAACCCTGATCTCATTGAATCTTGTGTTGTCCAATCTTAGGAAGGCCTTTTATTCCTATCTTGGAAAGGCTTTCTAACACCCTTCTTATTGCAAACTACTTAGGAAAAGCTTGTATTGTTTCTCCTAATTATTTTGGTCTCTCAGGGCATTCTTCAGTGGTTCCTCTTCTGCAGATAATGGGAGCCATTACGATGCTGGATTTTAAATAAGGCTAGGAGGAAAAGATATGTCCACCTATTCACTTGCTTGAGTTTCAAATGGGATTATGATTCTCTCCCTTTCTGTAGTTTATGGCTCTCTTGATGGACCCAGCTCGCCTTTTTTCTTCAATTTTCACAGCATTCAGTTTCTGCCTATTGCTCATCTGTGCTCTTCCCTCCTTTATTTGGATTTTCAGCTGCGGGATTTCTGGTAAGCAGAAGCCTGGCCAGAGTTTTAACACCAGTGAAAGCGAGCCCAGAAAGAGAACTCTGATTACATCTCTAAATGTATGACAGTCTTACTTTCATCCCACTTGCTGTAATAACTTATCATGGTATTAAAAACTACGTTGTCAATACATTCCTTTAGGTTTTTGGAAAAAGATGCTTCTCGCAGCTCTACCATCATTAGGAAGGCCCTAGATAATTTTAGCTTCCTAGCTCCTTTAGGCGTACCAGTATCTATCCCAAGGGAAAGATTTTCCCCATTTTTTTATTTGTAAGCTCAGTTCAAGTCCTGGAGATGTCATGTACTTGGTCAAAATTCTCCTCTCCTCACCCTTTTCCTCCCTAAGGAAATAGCAACCTCCATTGGTAGTTTACAGATAAAAAAGGTAACCAGTCCCTTGCTGCTCATCTTCAGATTTGTCTTTAAAAAGTTTTTAAAAAAATGTATGCCAGGTTAAAAATTTATACCAGAAAAAAAATGTATACCAGGTAAAGTATCCTGACTGGTTGGAGATTTAATAGCAATTTTTTGACTATGTGCCTTATATATACCTCTTAGAAACATCAATTTAACCACATAGCAGTAGACGACTTCTTCTTCTTCTTCTTCTTCTGTTTTTGGTGAAGAAGATAGGCCCTGAGCTAACATCTGTTGCCAACCTTTCTCTTTTTGCTTGCGGGAAGATTGTTACTGAGCTAACATCTGTGCCAGTCCTCCTCTACTTTGTAAATGGGATGCTGCCACAGCATGGCTTGACTGGCAGGTCCACGTCTGGGATCCGAACCAGCAAAACCTGGGCCGCCAAAGCAGAGCGCCCCAGGCTGGTGTTGACCAGGCTGGCCCCAACTATAGAGTTCTTAATCAAAAAATTCTCCAACCCCTGGCCAGCTGTCCAAGATCAAGTCTAAGTAGTTAAATTCTTGTGGATGAAAGCACTTGGCTTTAGTTCATCCTGCACCTTTAATGATTAAATATGTGCAGTTCTATCCAGAGTGTTATACTCATGTGATTCTTAAAAGGGCCCCAGGAAACTCTTGATCTATTCATTTCAGTGTTCCTCTGCTTTATTCTAAAAAGGATTTAAAATAGTTTATACATGTAGATTATCACGTGTTAAAACCAAAGTTTCCTTTGAAACTGAGTAGTGCTCCTAGTTTTGAACAATGCTCCCTCCTCACGTACTCTTCAAGATAAATCATTTGTGGTAAGTGCAGCAAGCTAACTGGATGTGCCAACTTATTTTATGAGATTATTATAACAATACAAGTAAAAATTGTAAATACAGTTAAAAATTGGGAAATAACTACTAGAAACAATTTAGGTTTAGGAATAGTTGGTCTATAATCCTTTCTGGTAATAATTTTTTTCTAGCTTTATTGAGGTATAATTGACAAGTTGTGTAAGTTTTAAAGTGTACCTTTCTGGTAATAATTAACTAGTATTCCAGTTGTCTACTCAAGTCTATTCTAGTTTAAGGTAATAAAATGTAACAGTTTTAAAAAGAATACTTGTTTTTCTCTTTTCTATATAGCAAGAGCATGTATCATGTTCAAAAGTGGTATATCATTAAATCGTTAAAATGATGGGAGGTGGGGCACAACTTATTTCAGACTGATGGAAAATTTTAACTCCTCTGCAACTTTGACTCTCTTGGTAATAAAATGGTGCAGGTTCTGTATGGACATCCGGCAGGGTAAAATGGTGAAAGGTGAGAGCTCTGGAATTAAATGGACCCACCTCTACTACTTTCTAGCTATAGAGGAATTACTTATACCTCTGAGCATTCGTTTCCTCAGCTATAAGAAGGGATGAACCTGCCTCACATCATTTTCACAATAGATTTTGTCATTGTGGCAGAGACAGACCCCAGTTCACTGAGTTCCATTCTGTTTCCCTCTTCCTTGGAACACAGGAAGACTGCATTTTTCAGCCTTAATTGTCATGTGATTGATGTGAGTGGTCAAAGCATAGACTACTGGGTATGAGTTCTCTGTGCTCTCACTTCCCTTTGTGAGGAAATCTGAAAGCTATGTTTGAGATGGAGGTGACGCAAGATGGAGGTAACTTGCAACACTGAGTTGTCACTGCAGGACACCTGTCCTGGAGAATCACCTGACTTGAAGAGGATTTTGCATGGGCAAGAAATAAACCTTTGTTGGGTTAAGACACTGGTTTTTAGGATTTCTCTGTTATCACAGCACAACATAGCCTGTAACAAAGCTAAGCCATAACCAAATCTTGTCTCAGAGTCAGTGACCAAGGAAAGGTCAATAAAAGCTACAAATAATGTAGTAGTATACTTTGTAATGAGTATTTATGTAAATGTTCTGTGGTGGAATAGCTCAACTACAACCCACTTGCTCCTTATTTTGAACATTGATTTGTAAAACCCCAATTTGCAGTTTTTAGATAAAATATCAGTAAACTGAAAGGTCTCTAAGTTTGGTGGGGACTGGGCAAATATGGGGAGTAAAGAGTTGCCTTTTTAAAACTACGGGATAAATTGTGCATTGTGTCTAGTCACAGGGATTGTGCCTAGAGAATTCATAAAGCTAAATATTTGGTGAGACTTAGAGCCCACTATTCACAGTGGTTTTTAACTCTAGAGGCATTTCCTCTGGATATTAATCTAGATGAGGCATTATCACTAAGAACCCCATCAGTAATTGCCTTTCATCTTCAAAAATTAAACATGTGATCTTCAATTTGTAGAGTAGGACCCTTTTGACCTCCCAGATACCAGCCATGTTGTGGGCCTTCACAACTTCAGCAGAATCATGCCTTGATTAACAGTATCCTGCAAACTGCCCTTTTTGTTAGATTTAAGAGCCAGATTTAGTTTTTTTAAATGAGAAATTATTAGTTAACCTAAAATTTTAACAAGGTTCCATCTGCCCATTTATAATTTTATCTTCGTATAGCCTCTTAATCCAAGTGGCTTTTGGGTGTGTGTGTATATGTGCTTGGGTTATCCTTACTAAAGTAGGCACTAATGGGTTGTATCCACGTTTACTGGGACATTTGGAAAACTGTTTTGATATTGTCAGCAGTCTGTTGGTCTTTAAGAGAGGAGAAAGTGTAGCCCTAGAGCAATTAAAACAGAAGTTTTTTAAGTGTACTAAGTATAGGTCACCAATTTTATTTGAAAGCCCTTCCTACTCTTCCCAGATATGTACTGCATTGTATGTATGCAGGCAGACCCCTGGGACAGGTATATCCCAGTTAAAACAAAACAAAATTGTTTTCTAGATCCAAAATATCTATTTTAAGGTGGAAAGTCAGGACAGAAGCTTTAGCCTTGATAGCTCGTTCATTTGAGAACTTTTAACCACTCATTCTGTAATTTTAGTTAATTCCAAATGTGGACCACAGGCAGAAGTCTTCAGTGACGAGAAGCTATTGTGTAAGTATTTCTGTAGGTGGGCATTTACAAATCTAGTTGTTTATGTTAATTAATTCTTTAGTGAGGGATTCTTTAATTACGTCAACTATGTATTAGACATTGATTTAGAATCTATGAATGAAAAAGTAAAGTGAACATAGTTCTTTAAGTAGTGCAGTGACTAAAAGCAAACGATGCAGGGTCATGGCAGAATTTTCTTTTTTAAGATGAGAGAGGCCTGAACATGTTTTATAGCTCAAGGGGTCTCAGTGTGTAAAAAAAAAAATTAGATAAAAGATTTGGAGATAAAAAGTGATAATTTATGTAATAAATTTCAGATAAGCCAAAGAAAGGTGGGATTAGCCTTAAATAGTCCCATTCCTTTGAGAAGGAGAAGAGAGATGAGGAGGGGTGGTTATGGTATAGTTTGAGGATTAGAAGTTCCGAGAAGGAGAGCCTGGAAGATCTCCTGTTTTTACTTTGAACTAGGAGGTGAAATCTTGCTAAGGAGGAGATTGAAGTGAGAGTTGCGTAGAGGAGTTAATGATTTAGAATGGTTGTTGTGGGAAACTAATTGGGAACCAGTGAAAGATTTGCTAAACAACCCTGGAGGCCTAGTGAAGGTTGGAGATGGTACTAGATCATATGGTTATATGATCATCTTTCTCCCAGAATTTCTTCACTTTCTCTGTATTGGAGTGCAGAAGGAAAATGGTTAGATTGATCCTGGGGATTGTCAGAACAGGTACGGAAGAACTGAGGATGATAAAACAAAATAACGTAAGTGATGGGCCCATGGAATCCAGTCTAGATAAGGAAAGAAATGAGAAAGGAAGGAACTTGGTAGACTAGATGGCAGGAGTCAGGGGACCTGATGTCTCAATGACATTAAAGATTGTAGTGGGGAAAGGGAGAGCAAACTCTGGAAGGATAGGAAGTGCTGTATGTTGGACTTTAAAAACAGAAAAACATGGGTCTAAAAGTGGTGTAGAAGAACTGTGAGAATGCTAAAATTGCCTTCTAGACCTCGTGACAGGTGTGACAAAGTGTAGAAGAAAGAGAAAATTCTGTTTTAGAAATTGATCAAGGAAGTAATTTCTTTGGGAATGAGCTTCTGTGAGGATGAGAGATGAAGAGGATGTTCTGTATAGTGTTCTAGATGTAGGTGAATTTGCTTATGATAGAATGTGGATTCCTGAGGACTTTATGGAAAGGTTTTGGAGGAAGTTAAAATTTGCTTTATAATATTGAGCTTAATTTTTTTCCTGTTGTCTCAGATTGCTGTGTTATACTTCCCTAAACAAGTTAGGAAGATGAGGAATGGGTTTTTATTTCCTGAGAGACTCTGAGACCATGATTCATTCTTTCATTTGATAACCACAGGAAAATACTTAGGCTAGATGATTTTACTTAATTTTCAAATATTCCAGCCTCCAGAGAGGAATCCTAAAGGTAGGAGAGAGAAAGATGAAGTTGCCTATTAATGATTAAGTTCCTTTTTATTTTATCTTTCCTTTAATAGTGAGGTTGTAGTTGTAAAAGTTGAGCTTTTATCTTTTTTTTCCCACTTGGCATACATGACCCAAGGACTTGTACTTATGTATCCATATAGGTTAGGTCAGTGTTTCCCACAGTGGATTGCATGGCGTTGACCGTGCAGCCACAGTGAGGGTGTGCTTTAGTGAATTGTAGTTCATGTGTGATTGTTCACTGGACCTATGATTACATCATCCAATTTTAACGTAAACAATTCTCAAAAATTGGTTAAGTGGCTTAAAAAGATTTCTGCAGAGTAATAATGTTTTTTGTGGATAATACTAAAGGTTCAAGTGAACCAACAAAATAACCATAGAGCTGCGCTCATGTTCTTTATCAGATAGCCACGTTATGCGATAAAAATGACGACCGCCCAATCTAAGCTGACAGGAGGTTCAAAAATAGCCAAAAAAGTATTTAAAATATAGTTCACCTTTACTAATGTTAACACTGAGCCTTGACCTTAGTATGTTGTATACCTTGAGATTTTAGGTAATGAAAAAAATAACGAGCAAGACACTCTAATCTTAAGAATCCAGAACATGAAGATAAACTCTGAGATGTTTTCCATCAATATTTAAGTAATATGATGCTCAACCCATTATTTCTACAAAATTTACTAGACATAATGATAATTGCTTAGAACTCTTTTTAAGTTTTCTTATTCAATAGTGAAAAGACAAAAAAATCACATACCATTGGGAAAACACATGTTCTTGCTGCCACAGTTAAAATGGCTGAAAAATTATGGGGGCAAAGTAAAATGCATTCCTTGTTAGCAAATATTGTTGAAAGGAGCATAGAAAACATTGCTTAAGAGTTAAAGAAAAGAGTAAAAAAAAAAAATAACCTTGCAGGTAGGTTATACTAAGTTGGAAGAAGATATATTATAGCATGTCTCAGCTTAGGGTATTTGTTAAGCTCTGTTTCAATAAGAAAATAGACTTACTTTTGTGAGAGCCACTAAAGGAAATGTGTACCAGAAAGGATATATTTTCTATTAAATATATAGTGCATTTATTATCACTCATTTAGTTTTGGAAAAGCTAGATAAGAATGACTGCTGATGGAGTGGCTTATTTTTCTGTAAATGTAAGGAAATGGAGATAACATCATACATTAAATCAGTTTATTGCATCATTAATAGTCAGGCTGACACAGGAAAGGAGTTGAAACCAGAATTGCACAAAGTAGTACTGTTGTGGATAATTTTATAAAAACATGACCTTTAAAATATGTTAGAGTCTTTGTAGTACTTTATAGTGAGATGGGAGTGACCATAATTATTGTTTATACACAGAGATTTACTCATTATCTTGTGACACAATATATAAAAAAGTCCTTGAATTTAAAAATGAATTGTGTACTTTTATTTTGCAAAAATACTACTGTTCCACTTTTCTTAACCTTTTTTTCCCTTGGTGATAAACAGTTACCAGTAGTATGAAACCTAGTACATATTTTCTAAAAATTCCGTTGATTTAAAGTAAAGATGACGTTTTAACTGAGTGAGAAAGAAACTGCTTTCTGAAAGAAACTTTGCTATGGGAAGATGATTTTGAAAACCCATGCTGGGAAATATTTTAATTGATATATATGTTCTATTCTTGCCAAAACCAATGAGAACTCTCATATTGACACATTCAAAATACTTGGAAACAGTTTCCCTGGGTTTTGAATGCATTTGATGTAAAAGAGTTAAACTTTCTAATTAGCTTATAAACTGATCGATATCAGGAAAAATAGAAATTGACCAGATGAATTTTGGTAGAAACTTTTGCATAATTGGTAGGTGGGGTGGGATAGTACCCTAACTAGTTCAGCTAGGCCACCGTGTACGCCTCCCATTGGAACCTACATGCTTTTGTGAGATGTTTTCAACTGCGTCAGCCCTTTTAACCAAGTATCAAACTGGACCTAGAACCAGATCCTGGAATTGCCAAGTCGCTGAGAATTAAATTAATAAAACGTAGTCAATCACCTTGCTCTTAAAATATTATTATTAATATATTTACTAAAAGCAAAAAGTGTTTTATACTTTTAATAAAGTTATTTAAAATAGATCTTATTTCATTTTAGCTTATTCTTTTAATTTTGTTTGTTTTATAGTGCAAATACTGTTAATTTAGTAGTATACGCTTGTAATTTATATGTAAGTAAATATCTATGCATTGTGGTTATCTACTCAAAGAGTTTTCACTAATTGAGTGTGCAGTCAAAACATTTGGAGATCACTAGATTAGATGGTGTCTAGGATCTGTGCGATATTTTGCAGTTTATAAAATACTTTTGCAAATATGTTCTAACTTGAACCTCATCAACAATCTTTTGATGCAGAGAGATGTCATTATGTCTGTTTTATAGATGAGGCATTATGCCCGTTTTATAGAGGAGGAAATGAAGGTCAGAGTATTTAAATGACTTGCCCACAGTATCACAACTAATTAATAATGGCTCCTTAACTCCAGCACAGGTCTAATTACTAGATGGTACTCTTTCCATTCTTTCCATTCATTGCTGTTCTACTGGTCATTCTTCAAGTTTTGATTTCTTGCCCTAATCTATTATTTATTTTTCAGAGTCCTCAGGTAGTTGCTTTTTGTATTTTGTCTAGAGTTTTTAGTTGTAATCAATGGGAGAGAGAGACTGTAGAAGTAAATTAAGAAAGACTAGGAACAAAAAGATGGAAGCCAACCAGAAAGAGTATATTAATGATGAAAATATAAACTGTAGTAATGGCCCAAAAGTTGAATGAATACATTTGATGTGGAAAACCATGCAAAGGACCCCTAGAAATACAGTTTGGGCAGATAGATCATTTGAATATTGGCATGAAGGGGGGCTAGAGATGACTGGTTATGGAAAATATAGATAGTGAGGATGTATGATGTGCATGTAGTTCTGTGCTATAATAAAGCTGGCATTAGTAAGTTTAATGAATTAAGAATTGTGGGCTTTATTTTGATCATTGTTTTGATTTTAATAAGACTTCATATAACAGATAGCCTTCTATTTTGATTGTTCTGTCAGTACATATAACAAAATGAACAAAATTGAAGAACTCTATATAGGAATGAAAAGTTAGAGGTTACTTGTCTGCTAATAGATCTATGGATAAACCAGGTTTAACATACTAAATTGAAAATGATTGGGTCAGAAAGGTGACTTAAAAGTGTAACATGGTTTCATATATCATTTTCTAGGCTATGATCAGTACCATAATCCAGAAAGAGAGAGATTATTTAACAAATTAAAATCTGGTTTTAACAGGTTTTCATGAAAATATGTTTTACATACAGCTTCTGGGCTTTTTCATATTATAAATTCAAGGCATGATTGGATCGTCTCTTAGCTTGGTGGCAACACATCTGGAAATACTATGCATCACTAAAACTTTCATAGGAATTTTGCGTGCTTTGAAATATTGCATATATGATTGTAAAATTCCCTTAGTGTTCACTGGCATGTTAAACTAAGATGGCACTGATGGGTATGTTATTGTCTATGTTAATAATCTACAGTTGAAAGACTCCCTCGGTTCAAATGAATACGGTTCTTACCTCTAATTGTTCATCAGGCCAGTAATTTATTGTGCTCACAGGAGGAAAAACAAAATGGTCCAATTAAAATTGGAAACACTATCTGAAGTAACTATACCTTTCCTTTTTAAATTATCAAATGGAAAGATCTTCTGAAACTTATGATAGTTTCAGTGATTTAGAAGATGTTAGAGAATTATTTTGGCCTTATCACAGTTTAAAGAACTGTAGACTTGGAATCAAATCACTTGGATCTAGTATCAGCTATGTTGTTGATGTACAGTGTCAACATGGACAAGTTACCTAAGCTTCCTATAACAAATGTGTACCAGTCCAGTTTGGCTTGATTACAAATGGTTAAGCTTCCACACACATATTAACATAAACAAACGAATGGGTTTTTTAGCCTTAAAGACAGGGCTACAGTGGTGTAGTCAGATGACCTGGAAAGGCTTGTCAGTGCTGCAGAAGGCTGTGCGGCAACCAGAGGAACTCGCCTCAGTCAGCCTGAGGAGTTTGTAAGTCAGTGTAGTCTGTTAAATCAGAGAAGCTGGAGAAGCATTAAGGATCTCTTAGTCCTGAGTGAGCAACTCTCTTTTAGGTTGCACAGCCATCTTTTATCTTCCTTCTGTGTGTGTAATAAATATCTACATTAACAAGAATGTGCAGAATGAAGAGATTTCAATTTAACAAGATGCATATTAAACCCCAGCTGAATATAAGTAAAAATTCTCTTAACCATCCTTACTTTAACCCGTGCTCTGCAGTCCTGTCATTTCCTCTCTAAGTTTCGTCTGACTGTGCCTGTGGCATGCTCAGTGTTTGCAGCTGATAGGCTACTCTAGTATGCCAACATACTTTTGTCCCTACCAGCTGAGTCGTGTGCTTACCAAGAATCAGTATGCTTATTTCCAGAACTTTTATTACATTTATGCATACCCAGTGACCAATTATTAGAACCAATTATTGTTCCTGATCTCACTGAGTAGGAGGGCTTCCTTATAGTTGACATGGTCAACCTACGTGTTGAAGTTGAACCTGATTACTCCCTTGGAAAACTAGGAGGGCTTGGGGTTTTGGCATGTTCTCCATACCTAGTCCTGTTAATCCTTCCAATGCCCCTTCTACCTGTATTTTCCCATCGTAGAAGTGAGAATGATGATCTTCCTTTAAGTTTACAGAAAAGGGTAAAATTTAGACAAGATATGGATATGAAAACACTGGAAATAAATGTGCTGTGTATTGTAGATGCTGTAGTCTTAATTATTTATAATGGGGAGTCTATGACATGGTTGAAGAAAATACTCATCTTTTCTTAGACTCAGGTTTTGTGTTCAAAATCACATAAGTCTTCTGCTTTTCTTATTTGGCATTTTGAAACACTATGATTTGAGTTGTTTTCCAAACCCTGAATAAACTAAACTGAACTTAAACTAATAAGCTTAAACTGAAATGTAAGGTGATAGATTAACTTCACTGGTTTGGAAGATGTTGAAGATGTCAGAGGATCAGTGTGTTTCAGGCCCTGTGGGGTATTACAGTTTAAAGAACCCTAGACTTGGAGTCAGACCAGCTGATTGGGTATCAACTAGGCTCTTCATAGTACTTGTCTTTGCTGCTCTGATCCTGGACTGTTAATTATTGTTACATTTCACAGGGATTTGTAAAAGATTTCTTGGACTAATAAAAGGTGTTAGATTTGATTCACATATAACCACTAGCTGTTTTTAGTACTTGCAGTGTCCATGGACATTAACTTCTTTAGTTAATACTTTCATCTTGGAAAATGAAACTACTGTCTTATGATTCTTAATTAAGTGGATGTGGAGTCAGCCCTGATTGCCTAGTGGTTAAAGTTCCACCCTCTCTGCTTTGGTGGCCCGGGTTCCCTTCCCAGTCACGGAACCACACCACTGGTCTGTCATGCTGTGGCGGCAGCTCACATAGAAGAACTAGAAGGACTTACAACTAGGATATACAACCGTGCTTGAGGGGGCTTTTGGGAGAAGGAAAAAAAAAGAGGAAGATTGGCAACAGATGTTAGCTTGGGGCGAATCCTTCCTTGCAAAAAAATATAAGTGCATATGGATTATCCTTTAATTGATAGTGAGCTTTTGGTAGCAGGGTTTTAGCATGTGGACTTGCACACACAGGTGTTTTGGGGTCAGATGCACTTGAGTTTGAATCCTGGCTCTACCACGTACTAGATGTATGACCCTTGGAAAGTTACTTAAACCTCTTTAAGAGCATGATAATACAGACCTCATAGGGTTAATGAAGATGAAAAGAGAATGTGTGTGAAGTGTGTGGGCATACAGCATAGTAGCCACTCAATAAATCTTCTTTTCTTTCTGTATCAATTTTAAAATTTTATTCTATGCCATGGATAGAAAGAGGAAACCTTTTGTAAGCTACACATTTATTCCCTTGATGTGGTAGGTCTGAAGACCATTTACAGTGAAACAGTAAGAGGGATGTAGCATTTGCTGCTGTGAGCTTCTATCATTTCTAAAGTTAGTTCATCCATTTCTTAAGTACTGACTGGTATTGCCAGATCTTTAGAATTTGAGCATTTAGTTTTATATGGCCCTGGGAACTGACTTTGAATGTGTGGACAGCAGCTGGAGGGAGAGGAACCAGGTGAAGGCTGTAAAAAGGATAAATAAATAAAGTTATTGTGGTCATCCCGGCCCAAGTAATCTTTCAAAAATAAGTCTAAGTAACATATCACTTCTCTTTTACTACACAGAAATGAGGGGGAAAGGCATTTGCCTTAATATACTGTTGTATCTTTCTGTTTAAAAAATTTTCGTCTTCCTTTTTCCTGTTTGTTTCTCCAGCCTCTGTTCCATCCCTGACGCACCTTTGTCGTTTGGAAATTCGGTCCAGGCTAAAACCAGGACACCTACGATCTGACAGTTTTATCTGTCAGTTGCCACTTCCCAGAAGCCTACATAATTATTTGCTCTATGCAGATGTTCTGAGGATGAATGAAGTTCCAGAACTGGCAGTTATTCAAGGTGAAGAAATCAGCGAAGCTACTTAACACAGCTCACTTACTCTGAAAACCACCAAGACAAAGAGTCACGGAGTACGAATTCTTAATGATTTTGTAGTCACAAAAGATGATTTTTGTTTGTGTGTTTGGTTAGGTTTTGGGGGACAGTAGTTTAATGCAAATGTTTACTACTAGGCTTCTTGGTAAAAAAAATATTGTAAACCTTGCTTATGTTACTTCATTGCAGTTTCATCACCAGTACATTTTATGCTGTAATATTCATTTACCTAACCATATTCTGCTTTATTCTCTTACTGTTAAGTGTGATGCCACTTCTAGGGCTAAACGTGGAATATTTCCACCTATGATTCTGTGTTTACCTGGGGGTAGGAGCTTTGAATGGAATGCATAAAACTTTCCTGGAAGTGAACACACAGTGGGGTTAAATCTGTTATTATTGTTATTGTATTTGAGGTTGAATCTCTCTCATGTTTATAAAAGAATTATCTTTTATTCTATTCTCATCTCTTAATTCAGTCATTTTTATGAAGAATTGATGTTCATTGGCTTTTTACAGGTAAACTCAGGGGAGAAATTTTTTTTTTTTAAAGAACGTAGAAAAGGGATCATACTACATTTAGAATGCTAATCAGGAGATGGGAGGGGCATTTCTGTGGTACTGTCTTTAAAGAAAGAAAGGTATGTATTCCTGAGTCTCTTAGTATCAGATAAAACAAGCTCCCTTCAGCCTTCAAATCACAGAGCAGCTTTGATCCTATTAAGCAATGATTGCCAGTTCTATCAAAATTGTAGTTTTTCCATTTTGTTATCTAGATAGGTCATCAAATAGTCCATGAAATTTAGACCTCAGAATCCTAGGTTAATGAGCCTTTGCCTCATTGGTTTTACAATTGTTTGATCTGAATCTAGAGTCAGAGAAGACTAAACCCTGGATCAAGTGAGTTATGGTAAGAGGCCGTGGGGACCAGTCTTGAGAGAAGGGTTATGAAAGCACTTCTGTCATAACAGACAACTAGAAATGGGGTCCCAAGGAGGGTAAGTCTTCTGTCCTATTGGGATCCTCTGGCTTAAAGTAGAAGGGAATGGGTCAGCCAGGTGTGTCTCTGATAGGCCTTTGCTGTTTGATAAAAGCAGTGATGAAGGCAGACCAAATGATGGAGGCATGATTAAGGTCTGGAGGGATGACTGAACTCAGCACAGATTAGAGCTATAGTTACTGCCTGTACGGTGGAGATAGAGTTTGAATGTGGGTCTAATGGCAGAAATAAGGGTAGATATGGAAAACCAGGTAGAAATTCTGATAATTTAATAAAGAAATTCCAAGGATGTATCTATTATATGCTATTTTTTAAATGTTGACCACGTCTTTATTTTTTCAAACCCTAAGTCTCTGATTTTTAACATAACCAGGTTTTTTGTTATGCTCAAATGTACATAGAATATTTACATTTAAGGGTAAATCTTTTCATGTGTTTTTGTTCATGTTCAAGTATGTAATAAAAATTCAACTTTGCATAACTTAATCATTGAGTTCTTGTTCTTAAAAATCTGAAAATTAATATTTCAGAGACATTTGAAAGCCCTTGATATTTAAAACATAAATTATTTTACCTACTCTATACATACAATGTATCTTTATTTTAACTATTTTATAATAAAACATTTATGGGGGCTGGCCCTGTGGCATAGTGGTTAAGTTCAGCATGCTCTTCTTCAGCAGCCTGAGTTCACAGGTTCAGATCCTGGGTGTGGACTTACACCACTTGTCAGCCATGCTGTGGTGGTGACCCACATACAAAATAGAGGAAGAATGGCACAGATGTTAGCTCAGGGCTATCTTCCTCAAGTGAAAAAAAAATTTATGGCTTTTATGATTTATAGCAAGTACGCAGTGAGATATCTAATCTAAAAGAATCTAAAGGAAGGTGAGTTATAGTTACAGCTTCTAATCAAAGTGATACTTCTAGTTAGTGTGAACCTTAAGCCCCGCCCTACATGCATAATGCTGCTTTAATAATATCAGTTTGAAGTCACATTAGCCTAATGACAAACCCCATCCAGTAGTTCTGTAAGGATGGTATGTATTACCAGAACAGGACACAAGTTAGTTTTAATAACAATTGCCTCGAGTCCACCCTTCCTTGATCAGATGTTATCCTTTAAGTATGTTTCCTGCCTGTCTTTCCTGTCATAGGTTATCTTTCTGTGATTGTTTGATGTAAGAGTGGTAACGAGAACATTGTTTCTTTAAATTTCTCTCTCCCTTTTGCTAAGTAGCAAGTGTCTTGATATGTAGCTTTCTGGCCCTCCTACTTCCCAGAGATCAATTACACATTTCTTGTGTCCCATGAACACCTATGAGAGTGATAATCCTTGATAGGCAGCCTAAGTGTCATATTTATGTCACGTGGGCCAGTTGATATCTCTAACTTAACTAAGTCCATCTGTAAACCTATGTGAAAATTGTGATATTTTACAGATCTTCAAGTATTGTATCAGGTACAGTTTGAAGATATCTGAGTATTTTTGATTGGTTACTCCCTAAAATTCTACTGTAATTTTGTTGGTCATCAAAAACTTGTAAATAATAACTGTAATAAGGATGTAAGTAACTACATGTCTTCTCTGGAACAGTGGACTTGATGGTTCTGTCAGTATGGGATATGGAAAGAAGTTGAGAAAATCCATCTGAAAGTTTGCCTTTCACTTTTATACTCCTCTGTATTCTCAGAGGTATAGTCCTCTAGTTATATTTCTTAACTAGTCCTAGAAATATTTACTTGAAGAGGAACTCTTGGTATAATTATTGCCAGCAGATGTCTAGTGCTATTGTGGAAAGATTTTAAATGGTTGGACTGGTTGAAGGGCTATTGAAATTGCTAGTAATATGGGCATTTTCAGGTTTATGATCAAGTATTCTAGATCTAATAATTTGGGGGAATAACCAATAAAACTACATACTGCATTCTTCCAATTTGATGAGTTCATCCTCTATATAAAGCAAATGGAAGCTCAGCCTACTGGCTTCATTTAAATACTCAATTTAAAGAGGGTCTCTAAGCCAAAGGGATCTCTAAAGCTTTTCCTGTGAGCTGGGAACATAACATAGCACCTTGGGTACTACTGATTCCCCTGAATTTCCTGCACTAGAACACTTGCCTCCTCCCTTCTCTCTTATCCCGAGCAGCCAGTCACACATAACTGACGTGTCAAGACTAATGTGTAGATGAGAGTCCAAACCCAGAGATTCCATTACTCCTGGCTATATATGACCTAGGGTAGTTACCTGTAAGACAACTGAGAGTGGGTATACCTGCCTCCGGAAAGGAGTGCTGTATTCTCTTTAGAGCTGATGTTGGACCCTGTGCTTACACCTACACATTCTCTCTAGGAGAAGGCAGTGTTTGTGACTTCAGGTAAGTATGGCCCATATTTGAGGGTTTAGAGACTATCGTGAGAGTTTTATAAACACACTTGGCTTTTTTGTTTTTATCCTTTTCAATTTTTTAACAAAACATTTAAGGAAAACAATATTCCTGTGTGCCACTTGTTTTGCTTTCTCTTTCATTGTTTGTTTTTCTCATTGAGGCTAAATTAGTCTGTTTATCCTCATTTGTAATTATTGTTATTAAATGACAGGTGGTCATTGAAACCATACCTTTCAGTAAGTATACTGTGTTTCGTTTCGTTTTGAAGTCAATAAAAACCTGTGGTTTTAATGAGACAGGGAACTAATTATGCTTAGTATTTTTGTGACATATTGGTAGAAAAACGGATCGCCATATTTGCAGCAATGTGTCAGTAATTTATGCTGAAAGGAGGCCAGTCTGAATTATATTTTTGTGGAAACGTACTTTGAAACATACTTTGGGCACGGATTTTAAATACATATCGCCTTTGGTTGCTTTAGTAAGTAAAATATGTAAATTTTAAATACAGGACATCTATTAACCTGTCCCTACACTAATAAAAATCTTTTAAAATTTCTCGTATAGCAGTAACAATAATAGCACACATTTTAAAGAAACTGCAAAACTCAGGAAGGAAAGTGAAGAAGGAAGATGGGGCCCTATATGGTCCTATCATCTTGACCCAGTATTAACCTGTATGTTGGATTATTTTCTCCCTTTTAGGTTTGTAAAAATTTCTACACAAGTTTGAGTAGTGTTTTTTTTTCATAGTTAAAAATCAAACCACCTTTACAATTTTGTACGTGATCAAGCCTTTTTCTTTATCATGTTAATGATATCTGCAGCCAAGCATAAGCCATGGGTTATCACAAATTCTGAATTGGTAAGAATGAGAAATAATGAGGCATTTTGGGGTCGATTCTTTTCTTAACATGTCTGCATAAAGCAAACAACCCCTCCCTCCTATTTGTAAAGGAAAGAAAGGAGTGAACCTGTGCTTAGTCATCTTGTCTCAGCTCAGGATAGTCACACAATTGCATATCCTTTGCATTACTCTACCTATGTATACTGTGTATTTTTAATGAAGGAATTTAAAATACTGTTGTTGCAGTAAGGATTAGTGTCTGCATGGTTTTCCCGTCTCGGCTTCTTTCTCATGCATAACACTAATAGATGAAGCAGAACAGGTGGTAATTGCCATTGGCGCGCTGAGACTTGTGAATAGCATCTGTTTATGTCTCTTTTACCATCAAATGGTTAGCATAACCTTCTCTTCACTGCTTTCCTATGTGGATGATAAAAGTCTATCATGAGTCATTATAAGGTGTTCGTTTACACTCTTTTTCTAACATGATGGAATAGGTGAAGAAGAAAGTCCATCTGGTGACTAAATATGACTATGATTTGAATCAAACAATTAAAAAGAAGGCATAATACTTCTGAGGTTATTACGGAATATTGGATCAAATAATATGTGCCAAAGTTACCAATTCCAAGCCAGAGTAGTTCCATAAATAGATAGATTCGTTAGTAACGTAGTGTAGGTTTTGGTTTTGACATTTAAAAATTATGTACTTTGTTTTAGACAGTAAAACATTCAAACCCTTATGGTCTTCATCTTACTTGTAATTATTTGGTTCTATTAAGCCCACTGTCAAGTGTCATAGTGTGGTATTTGTTTATTTGTATTGATGTAAGTGCATACTTATTTTTATCTTTTTATTAGGGAAAATTTCAAGCATATAAAAATAGAGAATTGTACACTGAACTTCCATGTTCCCATCACCCAAGTTTGATAATTATCAATTCATGACCACTCTTACTTCCTTTTCACACCAATTCCCTCTCTCCCATACCATTTTGAAGCCAATTCCATACATATTTTAGTATGTATCTTTAGAAGTCAAGGATTTCCTTTTAAAAACATAACTAACACTATCTTTTAGACCTCCTTAAGATAATCAATAATTTCTTAATATCAAATATACAGTCAGTATTTACATGTTTTAAATTGTCCTGTAACTTTTTAAATGGTTTACTTAAATCCAGATCCAAAAATAACACTGTGATGGGATGTTTTTTCTTCAAAAAATTTTGGTTGAAGATGTTATTTTCCTATAGAGTTCCCCACAGTCTGGATTTTACTGGTTGCATACTCATGCTGTCATTTAACATGTTCCTTCCATTTTCTTGTATTATATATTCCTGTGTAATAAATTGCCTCAAAACTTAGCATCTTAAAACAATAATTAACTTTACCTCACTCAGTTTGTGTGGGTCAGGAATTCAGGAGTGGCATAGCTAAATGGTTATGGCTCAGGGTCTGTCATGAGGTTGCGTTCAAACTGTAAGCTGAGGCTGCAGTGATCTGAAGGCTTGACTGGGGCTGAAGGATCCACTCCAGGATGTCTCACTCACGTGGCTGTTGGCTGGAGGCCTTGGTTCTCACCATGTGGACCTCTCCATATGGCTGTTCGAGTCCTCACATGTCAGCTTGCTTCCCCTTGAGCACTGATCTTAGAGACAGAACAGGTGGATGCCACAACGCCTTTTATGATATATTCTTGAAAGTCACACACCATCATTTCCAACGCATTCTATTAGAAGCGAACCACAAAGTACGGTTCATCCTCAAGGAGAGAGAAAGTAGGCTCCTCTATGTTTTGAGGGAAGTAATGTCAAAGAATTTGTAGACATCTTTTTAAACCATCACACTTTTATTTCCTGTAAATTGGTAGTCGATGTAGACAAGGACTGGCTAGAGTTTGCAGGACCCAGTGCAAAATGGAAACGTGGGGCCCTTTGTTCAAATTTCAAGATGGGGACAGCAGAGCATTAAACCAAACGTAGGGCCCTTCTGAGTACAGAGCCCTAAGTGATTGCACAGATGATACTCATGAAACCAACCCTAGATGTAGAGGCTTGATCAGATTCAGATCAGATACTGATACACTTTTTTTTCCTTGCAGTACTGCTTCCTAGGTGTTGGGTACTTCATCTGTCCTAGGGATGTTAGCAGCCAATGGTGATCACTAGCTAGATCCATTAATTCATTATAGCTTTATTTATTTTATTAGCTGTAATACTTTCAATAAGAGAACTTTCCTTAAATA